CAATGAAGGACAGGAAGGCCTGGCGCAATATGGTTCATGGGGTCACAAAGAGTCGGATACGACTTAACGACTGAACAACAAATGGGGCAAAAATGTCTATTCTGAATGTCACCATCAGGCAATAGCTTTGCACTGAATCTGTTACAGCCAACACTTAAGTGTAGGACCTTGCAATACTTTTCTTATCATTGTAGAAATTATGGATATTGTTTCATCTGTTTGTCCTACCCATTGTATTTTCTTTCTTTCATGGCTCAAGGGGAGCATAACTAAGGTAATATCAAATAGTTGTGATTCTTTTTAATGTAATGCTTTAAACTGAGTACAAATGTTCATTCCCCCAACACTTACCCAAATGAATTTCAAATCAGGATGTGCAATGCATATAAAACTGTGCCATAGACACATAAAAAATGATTCTGCTTCTGGAATGTGTACAAGCACGGAACCTCTGTTATTTTTTAAAGTGCACTATAATTTTTCAAGATTCTGCATTAACCTGAAAAAAATATGCCTGCCCTTTAAGAAGGTAACTTACTCAAGGGTAATATAACTCCTAAATCAGAGAAAATTTACTTTATGTCTTTTGCTCCTGTTCAAGCTTCCACCTATTATAAAATTTTAGGAATAACCACTGACAAACCATTTAGTAGTAAAAGTCATAGTAATGGTATTTGCATCAACATGAGTGTGGCAGGGCTTGTATATAGATACGACATACTGTGAATATGCATGACAGTGTGAAATATGTGGCAATAGAGTGCATGGGCCATGAGAGAATGCATATGTGAATTCTATGAACACAAGACTATTATACCTGTGCATAGATTTTGCATGTTCAAGGGTGGTTCCTCACAACTGAGCTCATTTGCTATCTACCAGTTGCATTGGCAGAAAGCTATACCAGCATAAAGTTTGCTCATTGTATCCTGCCAAAGGAATGATGTGGGTAAATGGTGCTGTCCTTACTTATAGTGTACAAAGTACCTTTAGGGGAAGGACTGGTGGAGTCCCTTGCTTTTGGTTCCCTCCCCACTCACCAGACTGAATTACCCATCTCATGAAAACTAGCTAAACAGCTGCAAACATTCCAAACACAATCAAACACTCAAGTATCAAGCATGCAAAAACCCAGAATCAGAAGCAAATACAGAGAAAATTAGTTAAAATGCTTCCCTGACATTCAGAGTTTAATGGAAAGACCATTCTGTTCAATCTGAAAGAGAAGGTTGTAAAACCTTTCAATGGGAAAACATGATATCCAATATGCACTGTTTTCTTATGGGTAATTAAGAGTCAATAGCATTAGAAAAAGGTAAAACCTCCTTTCAAATTAAAGAAGTACTTCTTCCCAGATGTTCAGTTAAATTTTCCACATGTCATCCATTCTGAAAGTATTCCTTGCCTAGTCTCTCCTTCTTTGACTATTTCTTTTTTAATGAAATACATCTCAAGTTATCCAAGATGTGAAAAGAGTTGTAATCCAGAACTGAGTAGTGTGACCACAATTCTGCTATGGGGCCAAAGATTAGGCAAGCCATATATTTTGAAATAATGAGGAGACCAAGAGAATCTTTTCCTTTGAGTTTCATATGACACAGAGCTCAAGATTCCTGAATAAGTCTTTTACACATTCAGATCTACATCCTTTCTTTTCCTTAAAATGAATTAAAAAGAATTTGGGTTTTCTGCCATCAGGTTTACATCTTTTACACTGTGATTTTTTTCAGCAACAATCTCATCATTCTTCTGAGCAACTTGCCCAGTGCCTCTTTCACCTTGTTATTCCTCAGACAGTAGATCAATGGGTTGAGAAATGGTGTGACAGCAGCGTAGAAGACTGTAATGGCTTTACTAATATTTGAGTGGCTTTCACCACTTGGAATTACATACATTGCTCCTACAGTGCCATAGAAAAGTGTCACCACCAAGAGATGCATAGAGATGGTAGAGAAGCCCTTCCTGCGATGACCTTTACTAGAGGATTTCATCAAAGTGTAGATCACATTACCATAGGAGAACATTACAAAGAAAACATTGACTAAAAACAGAGTTTGCATGCTAATTTGCATGATAAGGGGAGCCTTTCCGAGGGGAGGACAAGCTAAGGAAAGAATTGGCATAGGATCACAC